CAAATGCCAATCTGAGCATCCCGGGTTACGCCTTTGCTGTGTTACAGGCATCCTGTATGGCATATCATGAGGTCTGCATCCGCCCATCGGTACTTTTTTCTAAAATTCGTGATACAATTTACAGACATTAGGCGGGTTGTGGCGACTGCAGCGATCCTGCCCCAACTGTGCATGATGACCTGTCCATAATGTACACCCGAAGCGGGTGAAATGGCGTTGGGATTTTTTGGAGTTGTGGGGCAATCCGCCTTCTAGCTTTTCAGATGGATGCAGCGGGGCACGGGAGCACGTGCGCCAAGGATTGGAGCACCGCGCAAACACCCGGAGTTGTTGGGGTGTCATGCACTTCGAACCCTGGAGGAGACATCAAAAAAGCATGCTAAACAAAAAATGATTCGGTCCTTCAAATTAAACACGAATAGGCGTCGATGAGATGTACGGCAGAGGGGACAAGAAGGTGGCGCGGAGAGGCGCGGGAGATGGCGTGTGCATGTATCTTATTAGCCCTCACCACGCCACACACCAAACGCGTTTCCTTGGGGTTCAGAAAATCAAATGCTGCTTAGTGGCGGTCAAAGCATTATTAGCCGACGCACCAGCAAGCCGTGGCAGCATGCTGCTGCTATGTCTATCTGGCCTGTTACGCCGGAAGATCAAGATAGCCTACCTACCATCCTTAGAGGACATTGCTGTACAAAGGTTGGTGCTCAATAGGTTAGGTTGAAAGTTTATATTAATGATGGCCGGGCGCATGGAAGGCGAGATTTGGCCGTTGAAGTAGCCACGGCGGTTCGCTCGTATCGCCCGGACGGCGACCGCAATTAATTAAGCTCATGTGCTTTTTGCGCGGAAGAAGCAATTTACATCCCTTCCCGACAGCAAACTCCATCTTGGGCATTTGATGCCTTACAACATGCGCTCCATCGCGTTTGGTTCAACGGTTCGCTGGGAAAACATTCCCAAAAGGAAACCTGGCGGGGTGACTGTCAGTTGGTGGTGGTATTCCAATGTTCGGGAACGTTTTCATATGCAGACAGCTATACCATATATACACACCAATAATTGCATGCACGCGATGGGGCTTCGTCACACCTTACCGTCAAGAGCGCAGTCTCCCAGATCTATGCATCATTATTTCCACACATCAATACATCATTCTGGACCTGCCCCCTCGCGCAAGCGGTCATTAAAACCAAATTGCTATATAAGACTGGGACACCCAAGCAATATCCCAGGAGGAAGTTTGGCAGCGGCGGCAATGCAACACTATGTGTGTGGGATGTAGCGATCCTGGTGGAAGCAATTAGCGCTATGGATGGGTACCCATCCTGTTAAAATCCTAAAACCCTAAAACCCTAAAACCCCCACCGGTGGGGTGTCTGTTATGGTGCAAGCGACTGTAGACCAGCAGGAGGTCGCGCACTAGCAGTCCCGAATCCTGGATGGGTGGCATCCCATCTTACGTGGGTAGTGGAGGACCATTATTTACCGCGCATAGAAGACGGTGAGCGCAGGTGAGCGGTCATTTCAACAATAAGAGTGAGTGTACATTGGAGGCTAACAACCTTTATGTGTATTCTGCCGCATTCCCTGTCACTGAGGCAACACTAATTTACCGGTACTACCTACCTGCCTACCTCTTACCTACCTACTGCTTCAGCCGACCTCCTTCGCTATGTTCTGAAGGCCCCTCAGCCCTTCATTCCGAACTGAGCACGAAATGAGCACAAGAAAAGAAATGAACGCCAAATGAGGGATTCCCGAGGAAATCGAAAGGAGGCCGGTTCCCAGATTGTACCTACCACCAGCTGCGGCAATTACCGACGCGCGTGGACGCACCACCTAGTGCAAAGCGACACTCCGACGGAAAACGAACGGACGCTGTACGCGTCTGATCAAACATTTTTGAGCGTCTGTAGGCCATCTATTTTAAGGACTACCTTTCATACGATGACCCTCTCTCTAGACGATCAGACTTTTTGCCGACGCGCGCGGGAATTAGTATTACTAAGGCTTTAGTCATTCGTCGAGGAAATGAGAATATAAGCGGTCGATCTTTTGTTTGCCAAACAAACAATACAATTCATACAATACAGTAATATTCACATTCATTTTAATTATAATTTGATTTCCCAATAACTATCAGTCCACAAAAAACAACACACCGCTGCCTTGTTCAGTCATCCCAGCAGCTACGTACCTCAGCCAGCTACGTTTGTAGCGGCGTTCCCCTCACGCAGGCCCGCGCTCGGCATCCCGTTCGACACGAACAAGGAGATACCACTTCTACAGAATGGCAGTAGTGGTAGTCAATTCTGCAACCGCCTCACTTTTGGCGGTGTGTTTGTAAGTAGTATGGTTGGATCAATACTATACATTTCTATGCGCGACAGATTCAGAGGGCCCCTGCTGTGTGTCTGCCTGTCTGTGTGTCTGTCTGCGCAGGGTCTTCATGGCTGTTGGGCTCTGCACGGGCCAAATTGTCGATGTCAAATTTCCCAGCTGCAGGTATGCAGATTTTTTTTGTATGCGGTACATATGTATATGTATGCATCGTAATAATGAGACATATATATGTGTGCATAAATAGAATAGGATTATCCTTAATCCATCCCTTGATAGCGTTTTCGCTCCCGACGAACGCTCCTGCTGCCAGCTGCTGCTGCTGGCGGTCATTGCGCTCGGTCACCAGCGAGACGACGCATAATGCCCTAAACTTATCTTCACTTATTACTTGCGCACATTATTTACCTTGACAAAAAGTAAATTATTATCATTGACTTACTACTACGTTTTAACCTGCAAGCGAGCATATGCATATACGCACGTGAGTCCAGTTTTTTCTTTATTATTAAACAGAAACATTGCTGTTGTTGTTACGGAATCTGGGCCATTTGTACACATTTGATTTGTCATATCTAGGATTGAACACAGCATAGAACACCACCATTCACCATTACCACACTGTACTAAGCCTTACGAACTGCAAGGCGGTTGGTCCTGCCTTCTAGAATCCCTCCTCATCCTCTCACCCGAACATCCGAAGAGATAGAGGGCTTGTGATCTCAACTCCACATCTCAGCAGCTAGCCATAATCTTACGCTCTCGACAATGTCGGGGGTCTGCCCAGGAATCGAAACCAGGACCTTAAACCACAAATTGCAGTAGTGTTTCCTACACATAATAATTAGTAGTAAATACGCCGCCGTCTTTAGGATAGCAACATACCTAGACGTGGACGGAGCGGACGAGCCGATTGTGATGTCCGATGATGTCCACATGCGGCGTGCGGCGGGTAAATACATGCATATAACTCTACAACTATATTTCTGTAATAATGTCACACTACATATTTTGAGAAGTCAATAATAAAGATACTTCCCGTCGCCGTTGTGATGAGAGGCTCATATACATGTAGCGCTTTTCCTCTTTTCCCCCCCACCTTGTCTCTCTCTTCCCCCTTTTCTTCCCTGCACATGTAATATTTTATTTAGTATATAGAACTACGTACTTCCCATCCACGATACATTAAGAAACTAAGAACTAGCCCGTACCTGCTTTATCATCAGCAGTAGCTGCAGTTACCTACAAGAAAAAATATTCCGTACGTGATAAGTCCCGAACTCGCCAGGTACGTACGTGAGCAAGATCGATCTACTCAGCTGAGCGAGGTAAGTGTTATTGCGTTTTCACTGAATTGTTATCCTTGTTTTGGTCGCGTCAGCGAACAGAAGATAGCTAGGTAAATATAGGTTAAATAGATAAGTAGCGGCGCCAGGCGGCAAACGAGCGTGGCCGTGTTGGAGACTACTGCCGGTTCAGTGCGTCATCGCGGTCATGGCTTGTGCTTAAGCTTGTTGTATGTATGTGCCGTTCGCTCGTTCAGCGTTGTATCTTTCTGCTATGCCACTGCCCGCCGCCACCACCGACCCCACCGCCGCCTCGCTCCGCCGTGCATGAATAGTAACGTTACTCGCACACGGCTGCCGCATTCATGCATGCATGCAGGTGCGAGCGAGAGCTTACACCCTTCGCCATCAAGTCGGCAGCCACTCAGCTGACATCTCGCAATCCCGGCGTGGTCAACTTGTACTGCTTTGAGATCGGCATCGTAAACTCTGGATCCGTAAGTTTATTTGTTACTCTCTAACAGAAATTATTGTGGTTCACCACCGCAATGCGGCCGCCGTCCCGGAACGACTCGGATGGTGAATGGTCGAAATGTATAGTGACATACGATAGACTTTTTTTGTCCTTTTGCATTGTTAATGGAAATAGTTATAACATCGCCGCCGGTGCTTGCACAAAAACGGAGCGCCTACGACACCCGAACTACATATGTATCTGCCCACTCACTATTCATGGACTGCCATCCATGCATGCAGGGCGCATGCTACACAGAACCCGCTTCCCAGAACTTATCCAAGGTATCCGTCTACGCTCAGGCCGCCCAGCGCGACCGTCTATCGGCCTTTGGGGTCCTCCTGGCTGGTGCGCCTGTCAGCAACATGACCTATCTCACTCCCAGATGGGACTCACTGAACATGACCACCATCAGCAACCTTAACTTCAGCAAGACGCAGGCGAATGGTACCAGGATCTGTCTTGAGCTGTTCAAGCCTACCACCATCAACGAGTTTTGCGAACGAGAGGGCGCGTCAGGATCGTTCTGCTGGTGGGCTCTATACTCATTATTATCCATTTTATTCTTTCACTTTATTTATTGATTGCGTTTTATTTCTCTGCTATGCCTTTTTTTATTATTATTATTATTTTTTGGAGAGTGTCAGCAGCAACAGGTTCATACGCAGTCAGGGTGACCGGCTCATTTCGATGACTAGCTAGCTATAGCTAAGAATTTGTTGTATCACGTCTTTTTCAGAAGAAAAAAGAACCGATCAGCGGATGTCAGATGCCGTGATATACCCTCCAGGATACTACAGAGTTACCAACCAGGGGGTGGGCAGGTAGTGAATGCCAGAAATATTATCTGTGTATATCCATACTACTATCCATCTATCTATCTATCTATCTATCGCTGTTTGTGTTCCAATATGTAAGATACTTACACTTTTGTTTTTTATGTTTGTACGGCATGCAGGGTTGCCCTGTTTAATGACAACAACTGTGTACCGCCTAACTCAACCGTGGTGATCTCTAAGCGCCTGTGCTGCCCAAGATTTCAGTCTATCCTGTCCCCGTGATGATATTATTGTCATGATGGATGATGTGGAGGCTGTCTGTGACATTAAAACCCTAAGTAATAATAATGATGTCATGACGTGGCCTTTCTTTTCTGCATGCAGGGAGGAGTGGTCATTGATGGAACGCAAAAATCGTAATTCGTACTATCCTCTTATTATTCATTTATTATTATCATTTATATAACATGTATTGCTTAGATGTTATTCAATATTTTTATAAGCAGGGTATTGTGTATGATGAGGTTTTTGCGGGCGCCTGTGAATTTTATACCTTTCATTCGCTTTAATTTTATACCTTTTATTCATCACTGATGTGGCTGCTCCGATATATACTAGATTCGATTAATGGAATGGTATGTATGTGTATGTCTGGTGCTGTATATGAACCCCTAATTAGGCGAATACATATTTTATTATTCAATTTAATCCAACAATCTCCTTTAATAATTGCTAATTAATTAATTCTTCTTCTAATTCCTCTGTAATTCTTTCTGTATGGGATATAAGCCCCATACGTGCATAAATTTCGTTAATTTAATCGTTATTCAATTCATTCATCCTTCTTCCTTTAATTCCTCTTATTATTTCTGTACATACGTGTGGAAATATTTACCTGAAACTATTAATAATCCTTTCAGAATGGATGTGAAATAACCCCGCTAATGCATGTTACATTACCTCACGTATACTGAATATATGGACTATTTTTTCTTTTTCTGTGGAATGTATGGGATGCTAAAATTTTTTGTTTGTCGACGTGTAACATTTTTATTGATCACGACCCCACAACCCCAATGCCTCTTGCGACCATCCATACTCCCTAAAACATTTCATTATTCACAGCCAAACTGTTCAAAACGCAGAACGAGCCGATGTAGTACGCTGTACGGCACCGTGAACAACTACAAATACGCGCTAAGCGCCTCCACCAGCATCATAATCTCGTGAGGCCTTTTCAGCGGGGCCAGCTACTACAGCCTACAATCGATTTTAAGTGATGCACACATGTCGGCTGACGTGCCTGCCAGGCTAGGCAACCTGCAGGGTAAAATCACGCAGCAGCAGTCAAGCTAAGGTCCTTTTAAAGATCGATTTGTTCGACTCTCCTTGAGTCGCCCAGCTGAGAGCCAGAAGGGTATTAACATGTATTAACAGGAAAGGAGGAGGCCTCCTAGGGGCATATGCATATGAGGAGGAGGACGGCAGCGGCCCGAACAGATCTAGAGGCTATAGCTCATATATGATTCTGTTTAGGACCCGAGAAACGGCCTGATCAGGCAACAACCCTAAGAGGAGATGACGAGCAAGGGATGAGGTCGGATCCGGTGTAGCGATAGCGGCCACTCCGGAACCGCCCGGCTGTGTGAGGTCTGTGAGGTCTACAGCTCACATGTAGCGGCTGTGCGGGATGTGAGCCACATGTAGCCGCATCTAGCAGGGGGCCCCCCCGGGGGATTCCATATCCAGGGACCAGCAGTCGTGCGGTGCAGTCTGTAATCCAACAAGCACACCAACAAGGCAGCTGCAGCTATAGCTGATCCGCTAGGTGGCCACCTCCAGTGTTAGCTATCACCGGTTTTGTGCGTGTGTGTATACGTACCGCGTATACGTACCGCGTATACAATAGGTCGGATGTTTGTATGTACGTACGTATGTCAGCAGGCACCTCAAGACTACTTCCCCCCTACAAGTAACAATACATGTACGGCATGCAGGACACGTTACTTGCACAGTTGCATCACCAACACCAACATCACCCAACATCGGTATAGGAGTTACAGAACAGCAGGGGGGTTACTTGCTCGTGCGCACATACGGCCACAGCCACAACCACACACAGAGCCACGCACACAGAGCCACACACACAGCCACTCACGGCCGTCGATTCACACCCCTAATGGCAGTCAGCATCCCCCCAAGTTAACAGCTATGGTTTACATAGTACGTGGGCCACAATGATATGCCATTGATTTCCAATCCCGCTACACGCAAACCACATAGCTGTACAAGCGAGACACGCAACGCCCCTACTGCTACTGCTATAGCAATTGCTGTTACAGCTACTGCTGTTACTGCTATCGCTATCGCTACTGCTGCTGTGGCAAGCCCATGGTCCGAGCAAACTCGGCCTATGCGGGAAGGCAGACAGGCAAGGAGGCAGGGAGGGAGGGAGGGAGGCAGGGAGGGAGGGAGGCAATGAGGCAGGTATGCATATGCACAAACACTCTCACACATGCACACACGTACACGTACAACCCTCCCTACGCAAAATACGCACATACATACATACATGCCTATGTGTCAACAGGAACTTGTCGTCTATAGGTGCAGTGTACATGCAGCCCAGCCCCCAGACTCAGATGCACCTCCCGTGGCCACCCTCCCCTCCCCTCCCCTCCCCCCCTTCCGCTCCACTCGGTAGACCAACCACCGCCCCGCCATCATTACACCTTCCCCCATGAACTGCCCCTTCACCCCCTTCAACCCCCCTCCCCCCTCCCTTACCTGCATCTTCTCCGCGGCTCTAAGCTGCTCCGCCAGTCGCTGTTCGTGCGCTGTAGCCGCCGCCGCCCGGCTGTCCTCATCCGTACGCCTGAGGCTGTCCGGATCCACCTCGTCGATCAGGACCTCGTACCCATCCTGAGGGTGAGGGGTGGTGAAAACATCATTCGCGACATGGAGAATATAATACATATAATATAATATTATATGTATTATATATATTTGTATAAACGTGGTGTGTATGTTTTGTATTTGTATTTGTATCTTTGTGTAAGTGTGTGTGTTTTGCGCATGTTTAAGTGAATTGAGCCCCCCGATAATTATGTGCGTATGTAAATATGTTGAGGTGTGGGGTGAGGTGTGGGGTGAGGAGAGAAACACACACAGAAAATGTAATAAAAAAGGCAGCGGCGATATCCCCCTAGGCCTCACAGCCCTCCTATAGCAGTAGCTGTCCTTTCCAGTCGCCGGAGGCCGCAAGGCCTCTCTCCCTCCCTCTCCAGATGCTGCGATCACGCTGTAGCACACCTTTATATTGATGTGCGCCGTACTGTACGACAGCTACTACACCTCCTTACCTGCACCCCAAAAAACCCCAGGGTTCTGTCCTCCTGCCCCCCCGGTCCGCCCATGTCCTCGGGAATGGGCTCTCCGGGGGCCCGCAGGAAGAGCGCCGCCTGCCCGGACTTAACCTGCGTGGGGGAGTGGAAGGAGTGTGTGTGTGTGTGTGTGTGAAACGTGTGAGTCGAGCGACGGATGGACGGGCATGTGTGTTAATGTGTTAATGTGTTTGTGTGTGTATGTATGTACGTGTGTGTGGGCAGCGGGCCGTCCTGCGTCCTGTTCGTGACTGCCCGACTGAGTCCCCACCAGGCAGCCCCCTCAGCACATCACCATCACGGCACATGTGATCCGACCACTCGCCAGCGCGAGGAAGTACTGGATGTCCGTACATCATCCGTACATCACCTCAGTGAGGGGTCCCAACTCAGTGCGATACCCCGGCGGGGGGCCAATACCTCTTTCCCCCCCCCCCCACACCACCCCCACCACATGTTCACGAAGAGTGGCTGAGCAGTCGAAGGCGCTAGAGTCAGGACTACTATCGCCAAACTGCCGCAAACCCCCCATTTTAACAACCCCTACCACACGCAAACCTCCGAAACCCAAACCCAGCACAGCTCCCAATGCCCCGAGGCGCCCACCTTGAACAACCGCTCGCACAGCAGCTGCAGCGCCGAAACCGTCGTACTCTTGGGCAGCTTTTTCACCTTTACGGCACAGGAGGCGTGTTGGAGCGCAGTTAAGCATAGAATTGCGTCAACATATTCACATACATACATACAGTTCCCCTCAGTGTGCGACAGAAGCGACCTTGAAAAGTTCTTTTAACCATTTACAGATATACACATTTACAGAACCCCCCACCACCCCGCCACCCCCCCACCACCCCACTCTCCGCCACACACACCACCACCCCACTCCCCCCCACCACCCCGCCACTCCCCCCCCCCATGTCCCAACCTGCGTCCCCATCTTCGCACTCCCCCCCCAGCCACACACGTCAGCTTGAGCTCCACAGTGCTCGCCGCCAAGCTGGCCCCCCCCCCACCAGCGGCCCCCCGCCCTGCAGTTGCGCTGGGGGGGGGATGCAGTTCACAAATACACACACACGTAAAAGTGAAACGTAAAAATGATTTCGTGAGAAGCCGGTTGCAGAGCGAGTTGAGACGAAACAGAGGAAATTCTTCTCAAGAAGAATGGCAGAAAGGAATTTGCGTGCATGTATGACATATGTAGGCATACATACATTCATATATGCATTCCTCAAAAGTAAAAAATAATAATACAACTGCTGGCAGTACGACAGTACGACTTACAGTACGGCACCGTGCAGCTCCATGAGTTCTCTTAAACGGGGATGAGCAGCACGTACTGCGGCCCGACGGGTTTCATCTTGTCCCGCCCCCTCCATCTATACACCAGAGGGAGGGAGAGGGGAGGAGGGGAGGAAGGGGGAGGGTTGGCAAACGTGGTTCCTAAAGGACACAACAGCAACTTCTGATCGTTCAGCAAAAAATAATAAAAACACATACACACGCACGCCATCTCCCCACCCTCATATCCCCCACCCTCACCTCCGCGGCAATATGCTGCAGGTACCGGAGCTCCGAATCCCTCCTCTCCCGGTGCCGTACTTCAGCACCGTTGAGATGAGTCAGCCGGGAAACCCGACCAATAACCTTCCGGGGGGGGAGAGGAGGGGGGAACGGAAGGGGAGAACAAGACGGGGGTTTGGGGAATTGTCCATTGAGTCCAGGTTCCGCTCCGCGGCCCCCTTACTAAGGCACTTACCTGGGGCCCGTACCCCGTACCCCGTACTAGACCCTGCATTCTGCCCCCTGTCATGTCCCATTAGTAGCCCCCTCTCTCTCCTCCCACCCATCCCCCGGGATTTCTTCAGCCCCCTCAACAACCCTCCCCCTCCCTCCCCCTCCCTCCCCCCCTTCCCTGTTCCCTACCTCGAACCGGCCCCCGGTCTTGGAAGCGGTGAGAACTGGATTGCCGGTAAGCCGCAACTCCTGTGTATGTGTATGTGTGTATGTATGTATGTATTTGTACGCAATGGGAGGGAAGGCAGAGGGGGTGGGAGGGGGTCATGAAGTCGCGGGCGGGCGGGCAGGGGAGCGAACACAGGGGAGCGTACACGTCAAGGAGGGGAAGGGGGAAAGTCGCCGCGTCGTGTGTGTGTATTGTGTGCGTTGCCGCATTTCACGGGAAAACACACACACGGATTGCCTCTTCACTCTCCACCCCTCGATTCATAACCCATCCCCCCCCCTTCCCCACATCCCCCCGTATGTCCCCGTATGGCAGCAGCTTCAATCGCGTGTGGTTCGTCTTTCCCCCGTATGTCCCCTCCTAAAGCTACATAATCCCCCCCCGCCCCATCACCACCACCAACCCACACCACCACATACATACATACATACATACATACACACACAAGCCGCGTCCCAGCACCCCCCAAACTCACCCCCCCTAACCCCACTCACTCTTAGCTGAGGGAACTTGTCCAGCTCGTCCACGCTGCACCACTCCCTCACCCCGCAACCACCGAGCAGCAATGCGTTCAAACAGGGAAAGGCGGGAGCGGGGTTGGGGTTGGGGTTGGGGGCGGAGAGGGAAGGCGATGACGACGAAGACGGCGCCGATGCGTCAGCAGCAACTGTTGCTGATGACGCTCCTGTCGGCAGCGGCTGCGCCGGCTGTCCTTCGGTAGCAGCTGCCGGAAAGGTCGTTGTCGTTGAGGTGAGGGAGGTTGCAGTACGGCAGTACGGCGGATATCTGACGTGTTTTATGGCGGTGTTACCCGCGAGGTGCAGTCTGGTAAGGGAGGGGAGTCTCTTCAGCAACTCCAGGGGGGCCCAGTCGTACAGCTGGCAATCCTCTAGCGCAAGAACCTGAGGTGAGTTTCGGAGAAAGACGGAGTACGACAGGTACGGCACATCAAGGACAGAGTTACGGCAAGTACGGTACATCATCAGGAAAAGAACGAGAAAGAGCACGAACGAGCACGTACAGGGGGAGAGGGCAGCCCGTACAATCCAGACCCGCCGTAAAATCCTCTGACCTGCAACCGGGGGAAGAGTGACGCTAAAACCGCCGCCTCCGCCTCCACCTCCTCGTCCACACCACCACCGCCACCACCACCAGCGGGATTACCGCCAGTATCACCACCGCCAACCTCTTCCCCTCCCTCCGGAATGGCGGGTTGCGACTGCAGCTGCGGTGGCGGTGAGTCAGACATCCGCAGCTGCTGGACGGTAACGGCTCCCGAAGACAATGGATGGTTGTTACAATCCGGTAGTTCTTGACGGTTATGCTGGTCGTTAGTTGGTTGCAGGTTAGTTATGGGGTTACCACACAGGTGCAGTT